CTGATGATAATGATGATGCTATTGATGATGATGTTTATGATGATGGTGATGATGATGCTGATGATGATGACGATGATGATGATGACGATGATGATGATGATGATGATGATGATGATGATGATGATGCTGATGGTGACGATGATGGTGATGATGATGATGACTAACCGCATGCCGAGGATAATAATGTATCCCCCCCCTTCAGTCTTTAGAGTTGATTATCGTCGACCAATCAGAGTTTGGTCGGGGGCGCGGGGGCGCGGAGGCCGAACTTCATTATCACGGGAAAAGTTCGCCATCGAAGTTACTTCCTTCTTATGTTGAGATAACAACATCAAGCGAAGCGAACACGTTGTTTCAGGATGTCTCAAGCGAAACCAATGTCTTTCTGTCTCTTTGTAGTTCTTTCTGTCTCTCTTTCTTTCTTTCTTTCTCTGTCTCTCTCTTTCTCTCTCTCTCTCTGTCTCTCTATCTCTTTCTCCTTCCTGGCCTCTCTCTCTCTCTGTCTCTCTATCTCTTTCTCCTCCTCCTCCCCCTGGCGCCCTGAACTTGTTTATCGCTGGGGTTGATTCTCCAGGGAAAACGAGGCACGTGAACTACCCTACACGAGCACTTAAACATTTTATTTTCATAAAGCGCATGTAAATAAAATGTAATACATCTGAATCTTCAGATTTTTTGTCTTATCCTCCTTTCCTCTTCTCTTTATCCTTTTCATTTCTTATTCTACTTTTCTTTTTAAATATATCTTCTCTCTTTAAGTCCTTCCTTTCTTTTTCTTTATGATGTATCTCTCTTTCTCTCTCTCTCTCTTTTTCTCTCTCTCTCTCTCTCTCCATGCCCCCCCCTCCGAACTTTTTTATACCTGGGGTTGATTATCCATGGAAAATGAAGCACATGAGCTACCCTACACGAGCACTTAAAGATTTTAATTTTCATAAAGCGTTTGTAAATAAAATCTAATACCTTTGAACTTGAGATTTTTCATTCTCTTTCTCCTCCTCCTCTATTTTCTTTTCTTTTTGTTTTTTTTTCCTTTTTCTTTTTCATTTCTTATTGCTTCTTTTTATTTTTGTTTTTGTATATCGCTTTCTCCATTTCTCCGCCTTTCTTAAGCGAAATAAGCAATAGTTTGACGGTGTCTCAAGCGAAATAAGCAATAGTTTGTGGATGTCTCAAGCGAAACAAGGGATTTGTCGAGGATGTCTCCAGCGAGATAAGCCATTGTTGAGGATATTTCTATGAAGACTAAACGCCAAGGATGTCTCAAAACGTGCTCGGCTTGGTCTCCTCTTGATCATCTCTTACTTCGAGATTATGCTGAGGTCTGTTGGGCTACTTTGATTATCTCCCCCTGAACCCCGAACTTTATTATCCCCTAGTGTTTATTCTCACGGGTTAGCGGTTATGATGATGATGCTGATGATGATGTTGACAACGATGATGATGATGATGATGATGTTGATGATGATGATGATGATGCTGATGATGATGATAATAATGCTGATGCTGATGCTGATGCTGATGCTGATGATGCTGATGCTGATGCTGATGATGATGATGATGGATGATGATGATGATGATGATGATGATGATGATGATGATGATGATGATGATGATGATGATGATGATGATGATGATGATGATGATGATGATGATGATGAGGAGGAGGAGGAGGAGGAGGAGGAGGAGGAGGAGGAGGAGGAGGAGGGAAAGAAGGATGAGGGGGAGGAAGACGATCATGAGGAGGAGGATGAGAGGGGATGTGCCGGCCTGTGAGCACGAGGCTTCCCAGGGACATCAGCGAGGGTGCCCTCAAGAAGGGCTTCGGAGCGTTCGGGGAGGTGCTGGGCGTGAAGGTACTGCCCTCGCGCGGAGGCCCTGCCGCAACCTTCTCCTTACCATCACCTCGGGGTCGCCACGGGTGACGAACACGTCCGTTTGAGAAAACAGCGACATGACCATCGTTTCTCAGACGGAGCATCCGGCGCCGCCCCTGGCGCGTTCCGCGCGCCAGGGAGGGGTGGTCCGGCCCCGATCCAGGACATCCGCGCGGGCCTCCGAGAAATCGTGCTCGTGCCTGTTTTCCTCCGCTCGAAGCCCTGGCTGCCCAGACACCGAGGCGCGGTCCCAGGGATGCGCGACCCCACGGGTGCCGCCCGCGCCCGGCCTCTGCGCAGGTCGACCGTGCATCCGTGGTGTCGCGGCCGGGGGGTCCAGGCAGGGGCCGTGGACGTGGGTCTTCGTCCGTCCTTCGCGGGGGGCGCCGGCCCGGTCCCTCCGCGTCCCGCGCATCCTCGTGATTCGTTCTCTTCTTCTCCCCACCCCGAGGGGGGGGGCCTCCTTCCGAGGCGGGAACTTCTGCATGACCGCCGCCTGGGGGCTCAGTGTTCGGGGCCTCGGCAGGCGGGGCACAGGGAGACATGCGGGCCCCCGGGGGCCGAGATGTATCCACGTCCACCGCCCGCTGGGGCACCAGGACGTCGGTTTCCAGGCGGTGGAC